ATCAACAGTGCTATAGGGTTCACCACCGAACCCGCAGGCACCTGTTCATTACTATGAGATGGATATAGCAATATTAGAGAAATATGTCTCCTCATTCTTGTAATGACGGTATTTTAAAGCTTAAACCCTGCACGTGCGGTATAACATCTGTCTCCCACGAGAACATTACTGACCTCTAGATGACTTCCTTTCGTCTTGTTTTATCGCGCTTTTGCTAGTATTATTGTTAACAGTTTTATTATTGTTGATGCTAATACTATTATCATTATCGTTAGCAATGACGGCTTTCATTGGCGTCTTTCCATATCAATATCAAGTTCCTTACACAGTGCGACAGCTGTTGTTACAAAGTTCGACAGCTCATCTTATTAAAAAATGTATTGGCCCATTATTGCAAAGAACAACATCTCTTTTATATTATAACATAGCTAGCAGAACCGCGCAAGAAGCTAGAGTTGCCCTCGGCTATTGCCTCGGGCAACTCTTACGCTTCTTTCATGCTCTCCAAACTTTCCACGTGCTTCATAACTCGATAGTGCACGTTAAAGCATGAACCGATTGTTAAATAGAGTGCAACGTAGTCAAGTAATTTTAAAAAATGCGAGAAAACACATTCTAATAACTTCTTATCTCAGCGTGCCTTAGAAAGCTCATTCCATCGATAAATCAGTAATTTTTCTAATTTTTGTAGATGCAAAGTACTCTATTCAAATTTGAAAACTTAATAGCCTTTTGGTTTGTAATTTGACGACAGATAAACAAATAAATTCAGGCTGTAGAATGGCCCAAAAATAATTCATATTGCACTGGCGGGTTTAGCTTCGTATAGCATTCAATGTCTTGTTCATTAAAAAGCCTGAAACAGTGCGTATTTTCCGTCAAATCACTCAATTTAGTTTCTTCACTTAATTGTAAATTAGTTATGTAGTCATACGAAAAGCCACGTAAGAAAGAATCCCCTAGAGGAACTACATTGCACACGACAGATTGGTAACACTTGACGTTGAATAAGCTCAGCAGTTAAATAAATGTTTCGAGGAGGCCGTCAAACGTAGTTCCGTTTACTTCTTTGCCTGTGGAGGATATAATTCATCTGCCGTCTTTCTCCATTAAAACCACCCAATTTGCATACAACGGCACCTACTGTCAACAGGATTTTGTTACAGCAATGGCAGCCTTAGTGTAGCCGTACCCTAGAGATGAAACGGAGGCGAGCGAACGTCTGCGCAAACCTGACACCAGGGAGCTTAAGCACGGGGACTTTTCAACGCGACGCTGCCGTCGTTGAGTGGTTGAGGCTGGGGCGAGATCTATTGTGCATGACATACCCTGGGTAAGCAACGTCGTCCTGCCGGCGATGACGTGAGTCAAGTGGATTTATCGTTGCGAAAACGTGAGTGATTTAACTTTTGGGGAAGAAAACCACTGGTACAAAATTATAAAATCCTCGTCAGAAATAAGATCAACATCGTAGTAGAGAAGAAGAGTCTGACAGAACTCTTTAAAACTTGCCATAACTGACATTAAGTGATGTAGTTTAAAGAACTCTAGCAAGATTTGAGGATAAAGGATGCCGCGTCTCACAGCACTAGTGCTTAACAAATGAAAATTTGGCGCGAGAACGACGACGTGAGACTCAGGCCTTCGCAGATTTGACCACGGCGTCGCCCTGAAAACCTCTCGTGCTTAAGTTCCCTACTAATCGTGTTCCATGACGTCACTCTTTTGCAAGAAAATGTATAATGACTTTTTATTGGTTAACCCCTCTTTCTGATTATTTCGTCAATTCTGATTGGCTAGAGTTGGTAATTTATTTTCATACTAACGAACACGATAGTAAACGAAATGCTTTCATGGTCAACTTTTTAGAAAACACCGATCTACGACGAGGTTTTAAGACAAGTTTGCGCGACTTTTGGGATAGAGACGTTTCAAGACGAACGCAGAAAGTCATAGATATGTTTTTCGAAGGTAACGTCTCCGTTTCGTCACCTACTGGCTATGGAACATCTTTAATATATATATAAAGCAGCGCCAGTGATCGATCACCTCTCTCCTCTAGAAGAAACCGGTTGCCGTCCGTTACAGCTCTCACGGAAGACCAGGTGCACTATCTTAATGTACTTGGGCCAAGAGGATTGTTCGCCTTCAATTTTCGGTCACTTTGCAAACGGTGACAAGACCAGGAATAAAACGTTTAGCACCCTTGGTGTTTCTGGTTTGATCAAAGACCTGTCGACAATAGTTATTTACAAAATTTAGGAGACGAACACAATATAACCAAAATATTTCCTAGACAGTTTCACCAGATTTTGTTTGGTTATACCATCAATAGTACACCAAGAAAAATTCGTCTACTTTCTTAAACTGTCTCTTTGGAATTCGATTTTTTTTTAATTTTCCTGGTAAAAAGTGATCTATAATTTGTTTCTTTTTGAGAGAAATCAAAGTGGTAAGCAAGATAACGTTTCCGTGAATATAGGTGTAATAATTACTCACGGCAGCTGTTTTTTAGCTCAGCGCACAGGATTCTGTAGATCAGAAAGAATCACTGAACCATCACGCACCCAAACTTCGAATACATACGTCATATAAACCAGGTGTGAGGTATGTACTGTAAGTTGCGGATCGAGTTTTTCCACCCGGTTTTATGGCCTGAGCGTAAAGTGTGTCAAACTGTTTAATTGTATTTTTGCTATAATATGCTTTGGTTCAGATTCTCTAAGAACTATTTTAACGGAAAATTAAAATCAGTTGCGCCAATGCAGATCAGAATTTTGACAATTTTCGCAAAATTTAGTACCATTCAACACACATTTTTGGCCAAATTGCGTATCAAAGTCCCACGAAATACGCCCGCGTTGTGTTTGCGCGAAACTGATTATGTTCCGGCGAAAATAAGTATCTCTATCAAGTTGCACCAATTTGTTGTCTTGGAAGTCGCAAATGAAAACGCTTGAAGTGACTGCGAACAGCCTGTCTCGGTTTGAGCTTTAGAATGGATACCAGATCACAACAGGCCACCATACCTTGATACTCACCTAAAATAAGAACATAACCGTTATTAAATGAGAGGAAAAATAGCACAACCTTAGGTTTGAATTATTGTCAAAGCTAAAAGGTTCACTCGATTGGGTTTTAACTTTTTCTGAGGCAGCGTCACTGTTAAATACAGGTTAACGCACTAAGCGAGTGAATTATCCGAATTCACCTGCACAAGTTCACTAATAATGAACGAGAATAAATGACTGTAAATATATGAAAATGATATATGTGCACTGCGGTTGAAGAAACTAATATAGAAACGATCCTCGCAGTTATGAATACTACTGAACTGGTAGTGAAAATAAGGGCTGCAAAAAATTCAGGCCCGTATTGGATTTGAACCCATGACCTCTGCGATACCGATACCTGACTTGAATATTTTTCAGGCCTTATTTCCATTAGTAGTTCACTAGTATTCATAATTGCGAGGGTCGCTTCTATATTTGAATAAACGAGAAATTTCAATGCAGCACGAAAATTTCGAGTTCGTTGTTTGTGAACTAGTACAGGTAAATCCCGACAATTCACGAGCAATGAGTGCTTTAACAATTTTATTATTCAGATTGAATACACTGCACAAAGAGACACTGTATTAAAACCACTACATACTACTGAGTTAAACCAGACAAAATGTCTAAACTGTTGACAACACGCAAAAACACCTCAACTGGCTTGAATGAAAAATTTAAAATTCGCAACCTTACATTTCAAAACAGATATTCCTGTAGCAGTTACCTTCTTGGTGTTTTTAAAAATTGTATAATCAAAACTAACAGAATCAATGTCTGTATCTGACAAATCGTAAAACTTTGAGTCAACCGAAGCCATGGTGTAATGACAATGGTGCGTTGAATTTACACCACGGCTATTCCACCACATGACGTCTAGGATGTCGTTTCGTCACAACCCAGTATCAAGTGGTACAAATCAGCCAATCAGAAAATCGGCCCTTAAGAGAATTACAGGACACACCAGCCTTTCCGAAATAACTAAATGGCAGATTGTGATTTGTAGTTTATTGATTTATCCTAGTGTCCTAACCCTCACGAGAGTAAAAGAAACAAGTTCACCCGGTCAACACCTTAAGAAATGTATAGAGAACAGTATGGAGAATAGGCATGCTGATTTTAGGGTGTAAAAGTATTAAGGCAGTTAATTATATACCACGATTAATCTTAAGCTGTCGCGTAGCCGTGCTCAGCGATTAAACAAACACGGTCAATGTGTATGGCGCCACGCCCTTTCCTTTACTAGCCAGGCCATAACCAGAAACCCATACAAGGTGGCTGCCAAAATGGCCGCGAGCATGCGCTAGGCGCGGAAATGTTGATTAAATATGACTGCAAAGTATAAAGGAGATAAGGGGACATAAAAATATTTTGCATTTTGTGCCATTATTGCTAGAAACTTAACGTTCCCCATCATCAAAATAGATAGAGCCAAGTTCGAACCGTATTTCAATCGAAAGAAAAGTGAGAAAAAACTGGTTTAAGACGGTGCATTTTCATTCCAACAACCTCATATAATAGCCACACTTTCCTCTTTCTCTTATCCCTTAAAATAGGGCTAACCTTCATAGTTTCTTTAGTCTGCTACGAGGAAACGGTTGCACCGATTCGGTTCCCCATCATCATATCCAAAAGATAAGAAGTTTAACTCGCAAAGCATACGTTTTCTCGCTCCAAAAACATTCCTTAACAAGGTGCCTTTTCAGTTTGTAAAGTGGCATTTTCCAGAAATGCGAGATGCGAGGAAATGAAACCATTGCTTAGGCAAAAATGCTCTTTCGAGCGGTTTGTTTTCTTTTCCCTTCGCCCGCCATTTTGTTTTAATAGATTTTAATTACAATTTATGAAGTAGCTAAAAAAGCCGCTGTACAAAAGAATCGGCGAAAATCGAAAAAAGCGGGAATTTTGAAGGAAACTATAGCTAATATTAAATGCCATGTCTGATATTTCCCCCAGAACTTCCTTTCAACCTTGGGAAATTTTTTTTTAGTGGAGACATCATTGAAATATGTTAGGGATTACTTAGAGGCAGCAAATGTAGCCTTAACCATCTCTTTAGACTATGCCACCATAAAAGAATGGTATTACCTTGTAAAAGAGCAAGAGAAGTTTCCAGAAGATGAACAATTACAAACCAATACCAAGACAGATGATGAAGGAGGTGAGTGCTTTCTTATAGAAGGCTATGAACGGGTAAAAGGAGACCTTGGATTTGCCTCCTTTTCACTAGGAAAAAGGGGATACTACTCTCTGGGAATGGGAATTAATTGTTAAGTTTGGGCCATTTTTTTTTTAAATTTGGATCGGGAAATGGGATTTTGCCTTCCCTCATCCCCTCAACCCTCCTTTCAGGTCTCTCATACAGCATGCTTTATCACTTCTTATGTATAGCTTTATTTATTTATTGCATCTATACATAATTTAACGTATAAATTAATTATTGAAAATTTCTTTAAAAGAAAATGCAAACCAACCTGGTAATATCAAGTTTTACTGGGGCTACAGAGGCCTTCAGGGCTTTCTGTGTTCCAGTAAAAGCCATAAGCTCGATTTTTACTTTAATGATGAGAAAAGAAAGCTCTTCTACCCTGACTTAATTGACATGTCAGCACCAGCTCATGCTTTTGCAATCAAGGATGACATTTCTGTACGCCTCATATATACATCATCAGTTTGAGAAAAGAGCAGCAAATGTTTTATCACAACATCACTTAAATAAAGGGAAGCACAACTGGGAAAAATTTAAATTTCATATATTTGAAGACCAGTCAACTCCACACCAAGATATTGAAGAAGAAATAGAATCTCTCAAGAATGATTTGCAGGAATGCAGAGCAGCCAAATCAAACCTTGAAGCAGAAAAAAAAGGTTCTTTTTGAGGAAATTAGGAATATATTCAACAGCATGGCCAATGAAATAGCTAATCTTAAAAACGCTAACAGCCATCTTAGAGAGTACATAAAATGCTTTGAAAAAGGAAGGGATTTGCTTAAAAAGGAAAAACTATTCTTGAGACTAAGAACAAGCAACGTACATTGAAGATTTTCTTGACCAGAGCTGACAGAGCAATGTGGTTCTCAAAAGCATTTGACCTTGAGCTTGACTCACTTAAAGTTACAGAAGCAGAAACTGTGAAAACCCATGAAATTTATTCAACACTAAATACAGAAAAAACAGAGGGTTGTTTAACCGGTGACACTGACATAAGTGATACTGACATGTCAAGAGTTGAACAGATCCTGTGCTTGGTTGATAAATTTTGTGTCAGTGATGAGTTCTACCATGAACTAACCATGATTGAGAATGGTCTTCCAAGGTCTTATCTCATCAAACAATCACTGAAATCTGCCTCTTTTGCAGCAGATTTCAGCATTTAAAAAGGAAAATCCTAAGTTTAACCGTTGGTAATGAAATAAAAATCACCTTTATGACTGAGTGGAAAAATGCTAAAAGAAGATGTACCTTAAAGCGGTTTCATTGAGGTTCTCTTTGACTTCCCAGGTGTCGTTAAGGGAGCTGTACTCCTTCCAACGAATTAGGTACTCATTTCTCATTTTAAAGACAAAATACGCACAGCAATTCTTGGTGTACGGTTGAAATTTTACATATGCTACTCATTTCAAACAAGCGTCATATTTACCTTTCCTTTATTTCATCTGCAACTCAACACTCTTTCAACTTGAAAGTAAGGGCTTTTCCTTCTTTTCGATCTACTCTCCATGAAATCTGCAGAACCAAGAGTATTTAAGCTGCGGTAATAGCCCTTCGAACGATTTTTTTTTCGTCCGTCCGCCATATTGAATACCGAAATTCACGCCCCGGTCGTTCAATCCACTGACTGCATACGATTTCTGGTTATGAAGAGGATTATTCTAACACCTCGAACAAAGATACTTTCGAAACACTTCGGATTCGAAAGTAAGTAAGCAAGTAAGTAAGTAAGTAAATAAGTAAGTAAAGACTTTATTTCATCAGGTTTAGATAGATAGATAGATAGATAGATAGATAGATAGATAGATAGATAGATAGATAGATAGTTTATTAAAATTACATCGCAGTCAAAGGCTGAATTACGCAATTAATTACAAAAACTTTACAATACTTGAAAATTACAAATGAATCCAAGAAAATAAATCGAAAACTGATTTTTAAGATAACATTAAAAAATTCTATATAACATATTCATATTGAAATATGTTAAAATATAAAGCATGAATATAAGTGGGATAAAACTACAGCCCGGACTGTTTCGACATCGCTTATATAAAAGTATTACTTGTTGTGTTCGTGCAAAGCTTTGGCATATTAAAAAGGCGCTGTCTTCTTAGGATCATAGCGTGAGTTGTCATGGTCTGGTGGAAGGAGCGCCTTCAATTTATGGTTTGGATCACTGACAATATTATCAAAAAGCCTGCTACATAGTACGTAATAATGCTCCAAAATGGGTGTTAACCCCACCTCTATTGCCGAGTTGCACTTTCCTGAGGTTATTACTGATATTGCTCTTTTCTCGAGCCGTATGAGCTCTTTCTTTAAGTACTAGGGGAGACCATTAAAAAAGACAGGTGCTGCATAATCAATAACAGATCTCACGCACGATACGTAGACCAGTGCTAGATCTTGTTTCGGAACTCCCGCTCTCTTTAACTGAGTTAGGAGCTAGCGCGAAGTAGCCGGAGCTAATAAACTTGTGGCCCTCTAAATAAGAAACAAATAAATAATAAAACAATAAATGAGTATACTAAGCTATAAAAAAATACAAGGTAAAAAAACCAAAGAATACAGATACTACAGAATCTACCAATCTATTTTAAAGATAAAATATCACATTACAATCTGCTGACGATGTGATTGTAGTATCGTCAGCATAAAGATCGCTTTCAGAGGAGCTGACATGAAGCGGCAGGTCATTATTAAAAACTGTGAAAAACAAGGGGCTGGGTATACTGCCCTGAGGAACCCCGTGTTTCATAAGCGCCATATCTGAGACGCAACCACCCAAATAGACAAGCTGGTGTCTGTCCGCCAAATAAGACTGGAACCACTTCATTGTTTCGCCAGCAACACCATACACTTTCAGCCTATCTAGAAGAAGACCATGATCTACCATTTCGAAGGCTTTACAGTAGTCTACCAGCACCATGCCACTAACTCTATTCTTATCTAAATTTAAAAGCAATTTGTTAATTATCTGTATGAGAGCAGTGTCTGTAATGTGATTCTTTCGAAAACCAGAGTGGCGAGGATAAATCAAATTGTTTTCAGTTAGATAATTGTATAAAGAGTCATGCATATGTCTTTCGATAACTTTAGAAAGGACAGGTAGCGCAGATGTTGGTCGAAAGTTCTGAATGTCCCGTGGATCACCATTCTTATACAGAGGAGAAACTTTAGCTGTTTTCCAACGTTTTGAAAATGATCCACTGGAAAAGGGAAAGTTAATTAATCTCGCAACAACAGGTGCCGCTATACGCAACAGCTGAGAACTTATTTTATCAACGCCAGCAGCTTTGCGCGGACTTAACTTTTGTAACATAGTAAGCACCTGCGCACTAGTGACATCACATAAGATGTATCAGGACTTTTTCTGGATTTGACAAAGTCTTGCAGCTTTGAGGGTCTGATGGAACTTGCGATAATGTAGTTCTTAACCTATCTGCTTTATAGTGCGGCTTTCGAGCAGAAAGATCAACGATAGACATGGTATTCTCCCTCCGCCAGCTTCAGGAGAAATGCAGAGAGCAGCAGATGCCTTTGTACATTGCCTTCATCGATCTGACCAAGGCGTTTGATCTTGTAAGCAGAGAGGGTCTCTTCAGAATTCTATCTAAAATTGGCTGCCCCCCTAAACTACACAGCCTGATTGAGTCCTTCCATGCCAACATGCAGGGGACTGTGCAGTTCAACGGCAGAACCTCTGAGTCATTCAACATCAACAGCGGTGTCAAACAGGGCTGCGTACTTGCCCCAACCCTTTTCGGAATCTTCTTTGCCTTCCTTCTGAAACATGCATTTGGCGCATCGAAAGAAGGGATCTACCTGCATACAAGATCAGATGGCAGGCTTTTCAATCTTGCCCGTCTCGAGCAAAGACCAAAGTGCGTGAAGCCCTGATAAGAGACATGCTATTTGCTGACGATGCAGCAGTAGCCTGCCATACTCAGCAAGCACTTCAGTCACTCATGGACCATTTCTCTCAGGCCTGCAAAGACTTTGGGCTTACCATCAGCCTGAAAAAGACTAAAGTCCTGGAACAAGGAACAGAAACACCACCATCCGTTACCATCGACGATTACGAGCTCGAAGTGGTCCATCATTTTACGTATCTAGGCTCCACTGTCACTGACAATCTCTCCTTAGACTTCGAGCTCGACCAGAGAATTGGAAAGGCGGCTGCCACACTTGCACGCCTCACTACACGTGTGTGGTCCAACCCCATGCTCACAGAGAAGACCAAGATGGCAGTATACAGCGCTTGTGTCATCAGTACACTGCTATACGGCAGCGAGACATGGACGATGTACGCCAGACAAGAAAAACGCCTGAACACCTTCCACATGAGAAGCCTCCGCCGCATCCTGGGAATTTCGTGGCAAGACAAAGTCCCAAACACAGAGGTCTTGTCTCGTGCGGGCCTGCCAAGCATGTCAACCTTACTCAGGCAACGTAGACTCCGCTGGCTGGGCCACGTTCATCGCATGCCAGACGGCCGCATCCCCAAAGACTTACTGTATGGTGAGCTAGCCACTGGAAGTAGACGCAGAGGACGCCCACAGCTGCGATACCGAGATGCTTTGAAGCGTGACATGAAGGCTGTAGGAATTGACACAGAGACCTGGGAAAATCTCGCAGCTGATCGGTCACAATGGAGAGGAGCCGTTACAAGGCACCTCAAAACAGGAGAAGAGAAGCTGACACAAGCTGCCACAAGGAGGCGGACCCGCAGAAAACTTCGTATCAGCAACGTCCAACAAACAGCATACACGTGCAGCACTTGCGGCAGGGACTGCCATTCACGCATTGGCCTTCACAGTCATAGCCGCAGATGCTCCAGCCAAACACACAATTAGGATGCTATACCCATGGTCGACCCTGACCGATGGAGGCCTACTACTAACCTATCTGCTATACTGGAAAAATGAGCGCTAAAACGTTGCGCCATGAGCTTTTTGTCTTCTATAACAGCTTCCCCGATATTAATACCGTTACTACCGCGCCTGTTCTTTCCTGAGCCAGTCAGTGTTCTTATTGTCTTCCACATTCCTCTTGAATTTCTTTTATTTTCCTCGAAGGCATTGCAAAAAAATTTTCTTTTTGCGCTCCTAATCATCGCAACTGCTTTATTTCTTGCCGCTCTGTAATGAGACCAATCATCAGCATTATTGGAACGCCTTGCAGTTTTTAGGCAATTATCTCTCAGGTGTAGCTGTTTCAAGACAGAGCTAGTCATCCAAGGAGCTTGAACAGTGCGCTTTACATGCTTTTCAGGCCAGGGGCAATATACTATTAAAAACTCCCAAGAGTCCAGCATATCATCAATCTCATCAAATACGAATATTGTATCCTGAGGGGCCTGACTCAGTACTTCTTTGAATCGGTTCTCGTCGAATTGCTTCATGTCACGATATCTAATATTCTGATTTTTCTGCATGCTACAAGATCCGCGCTCGTTGTTATATCTGCGTACAGCAAAAATAGGTACGTGATCAGAGAGGCCACAGTTGAGAGTCCATATAATCAATATTTGCTGAGGACGATTTGAATAGATGTGATCCAAACAAGTATCCTTAACAGGACGAGTCACCTCATTAACTAGCTGCGTGAAATTCATTATTATTTCTTCCGTCAATATTCACATCGCCTAAAAATATCGTCTCCTTATTCAGCAAGTACACACGTTCCAAATTTGCCTCCCGAGATAAATCATCAGCTTTGGTGTACGAGGGTTGGCGGTATATACTACCAATCAATAAAGATCGTTTCGACTTCCACTTCTTGATTTTCCAGATCAGTTCTACGTATATAACATTCAGGTTATCGCTTATATAAGCTATGACACCGCCGCCAGATTTGTTTAGCCTGTCTCTATTGTAGATAGAATAACTAAGCACCTCAAAGAGAGTATCCGGCACGTTCGGCCTCAGAGATGTTTCATTTAAAAGCAAAACGTCCAACTGAGGTTTATCAAGTTTTCCCAAAAGAAACATTTTAAAAGAACAAAGTTTAAAACAGTTTTCCCAAAAGAAACAGTCTAAATGGTCTCCCCTAGAATGTCATTTCGCATCCTTAAATTTTTTCAACCAAAAATGTCGCCACGATATCAACAAACTTAAATTCAATCGTAACACCAAATTTTCCTATCTTTCTCCGGAAGAGTGATCGGCACTAAAAAGTCTGAAAAAACGCAGACATAGTTATTAAAGCGGCCAACAAAGGCGGAGAAGCTGTTGTTTGGCGGGCCTACCTCTACCAAAAAGAAGCTTTGCGGCAACTTTCTGACACCTCATTTTATGCAAAAGTCGACAAAGATCTCACTTTAATTAACCAAAGCATCGTCAAAAATACGATTAACGATCTTATGGTTGAACAAGAATTGCCTGCCACTGCTAAAAATCTCACCATCTCAGGTTAATTAAGGCCTGGGTCACCCTGTCTCTAACCCATATTTTCACAAAATTTAGAATAACTTAGCTATTTTGCAAGGGATTTTTCTTATACTTGGCAGAAATGTGTATCACTACCATCTCTCTCGGACTGAATTGTGGCAGCGTAATATGATACTCTCAACAGCCAAAAACAGTTAATATAGGCGCCAAATTCGTCGGTTGCTTTCTTGAGCAAATTCCCACCATTAAACACAAGGCAAATCAAAATGCAGTTATCGCTATGAATATTTGAGACGTTTTTTATTGTTTTCCCACTTGGAATGGCTGCCAAAAAAAAGAGAGATGTGATAGGCAGATTAAATCAAGTTTTGTCTCTGCGAAGCTGCTTCCACTATCATGGTTTTCGCCCAAAAACATCTTAGCCTTTACCTGGTTCCAACCGCTATCAACGAAAGTAATCCCACAGGTTCCTATTTATTTGGAAAAAAGACAAATTAAAACTGTTTAAGAGGTGGGAATTTTGAAAACTCGCAGTCACGTAATTCAACTTAGTGTCCGCCATTTTGACACGCGAGTCACGCGAGTGTTCAGAAGCAATAATTTAACGGCTGATACACTACCAAATACTAATTGGAGCAATCTCAGAAGTAATACAGGCAAACTTTGTATACGTTTGATGATATTTATTTCTTTTTCTCGTTTTCTGAGGTCGATTGCATCTCTGTAAATTCAGGGTTAGATCGCCTTTGACTGTTCTAATAAAACACAATTGCAAATTTGGGCGGTAATAATAAAGAACGTTTGTAATTTTATCCCAAGTAGTATCATATAACGAGACTGAATTACAATTTTGGCGCAAAACTTGAAAGTTATCGCACTGATTCCTTGAAACTCTTCAAGATTTTGTTAGCTGAGAAGTTCCCATCGTGATTAATACCCTTCTTTGCACTTTCTTCCATAAAACCTCGAATTATGGAATATTTTCATTATACCGACGGTTAAAAATAAAGCATTTCTTCAAAGGATACAGCTAATCCCTTATCACACCAAGTGATTGCTTGTTCAAATCTCTTCAGTTCAACACAGGCAAGGGCTCCTGCAGGAAACAACACAATGGAGATATAATTACTATAGCTTAATTCCAAGAAAAGAACCAGAAATCATTGAAAGCTAACTTATTACAGTCCAGAAAAGACAAAGCAACTAAATGGAAAGAATAAACAGGCCCTATTAGGTTTCAGTTAGATTAGTTTCTGATAATTGAAACTTCTGAGGACATTTGAGTTGAGACTAACAATTCCCACAAAATCACTGAGATATATAGATATAACAAGATATGCCATGGGTAAACAAAAAAATGAAAATCACTTTTTATAATTTGATAATGGTACATTTTTTGGTTAACTTTTTTAGAACTGGGTTTAATTTCAACTTCAATCAAAATACAAGAGACTCAAGTTACATTTTAAAAGTTCCCCAACAATAAGATTTACTCATGCTGTCTCTAGTTACATTCTTATTACATGTATTATAGCCTTTAAAGTTGAGTTATACTTCATGAATGAGGAAAGTTTCCTTACAGTTTTGAGTTCAGTTAAACCATTACTTCTTTTCAAAACAGCTAGATAGTGACTAAACATACCTGATACCACTACCTAACCCATCGAACAAAAGGAAACTAAAATACTCGTGCCGAAATTTTGCCTTTAACTTAGCACTGGGTTCTTTATCCAACTCAAAATAATATTCTCATTATAATGGAAAGTCATGGCACAGCAGTCTTGCACTCCTAATTGAAGTCAATTGAGACAAGATTTAACTTTATTTAACCTTAAAGTGTTCAGTTCTTGTTGTTATTATTACTATTAATAGCACAGCAATTATATCTAACCTCTCACAATTGCCTTGAGGTAAGTTGGATTTAACTCAATGGCTGCTTCTGCATCCCTAAGTGAATCCTGGTGATTTCCTGTTTTTTAAATATATGTCTCTGATTAGCTGTACATATAGCAAATCCACCACCCTTACATTAATTTTATGAAAAACATGTGATGCTGATTGATATCTGGTGTAAGAGCTAGGTTACTTCTTTGTATGTTTGAGAGGCCAATAAAAGGCATATATTTTTCTAGAGAATTTCTTTCTGGGCATATGCATTCAAAATCATCACCTTTTTCAGAAACTACTACTGACAGCCCTTTAAGTTTCAAAAGGGAAAAATTGCATATTTTTTAGCTCTCATCATCTTACCAAGTTTAAAATGTGCAATAGCCCTGTTGTTGTACAGTTTGGCCTCCAGTTCTTTCTCATTGCAGTTCACTTTAATTCCTCTGGTGTAAAAATGAATAACATTGATGAAATCTCCTTTCTTGAGGGCCTCATTACCCTCATTACTATAAACATCAGCTGTAGCTGCAAAGAAAAAAATTAAACATAATTTGTGTCAAAGTCTTTGGTTGTACATGTAGTTAATTTGTGTATAAGTATAAGCAGCCAATGTCTCCCTCTCTGCCCTTAAAGGAAAAACCCCTCTCAGTTAATTTATGAGATACTCTTTTTGCTTGAAAGCTCAATCTATTAGACTCAGTTTCTGTTGTGGTCATCATTTAGAAGAAAGGGTTGTCCCTACTTTGAAATAATCTAAGCGCAATCAAGAAAATTAAGATAAGAGCCCTAAGATAACCATAACAACATTGGATATGGGGAATTTGGTGTTCAGATCTTATGTTTCTGCGAGGAACTGACCAAAATCCTCATTTGTCAGGAAGATTTGATGATCCATATGACAGACATTTCTCGTTCTGTCTGTGAGACTCCCTGCCAATGAGAGAGAGTCGGCATAATTATAAGTGTTAAAGTCAGTCTACTGCTTTAATTACATTTAGATAGTTAATAAGTCAATAAGATCCAAATATTGCAATCATAAAAACTAGAGGCAATAAAAAAAAAAAAAAAAAAAAAAAAAAAAAAATAAATGATAAGAATAATGATAAAAAAGATGAGATTAATAGTTATGATAATGCTAATAATGTGGGTGACAATAGTAGTGATAATAATAATGACAAAAATTAAGTGTCACTCAATTTGAAGTAAACCCCTGGGCATTTAACTTTTTGGAGAATGGTTTCCTAAAATTCCTATCCCCTTGGGTAAAATATGTGTTCATATGCCCCACCCAATTTTTATGTAAAAAGCAAAATAATTACAAATAGCAGCCATGACTTTCAACAAATTGACCAAGCTTGAAAACTGAGAACTTGAAGACTTTTTCCTTCTAAGCCATTTCTTAGTGAAAGTGCACTAACCCCTAACACCTCCATATTAAATAATATCACACTTGTATTCTACTGGAAATTAGTCTTGACACTTCTGGTTCAAATTCCCCAATGCCAGTCGAGCAAACTTCAATTGAGTGCTCTGCAGTCACATAAATTACCCTTTTTGCAGAGATCTGCATTTTCTGCAAATTGATACATTTCTCAGCTGGCTATTCAAAGACATTTGTTGATTCTGTTAAACTATAGGCTTGATAATATATCTACTTCTTTGGGCTGGCCAAGATAAAGGAGTTGATCAGTTTCCTTAAAATGATCATTAAATTTCTTGAATGATACCTGTCTAAATTTGGTGAAAGAACAAATTTGTTAACATGTTGAGGGGGCATAAAAAAAGACATAACTTGCAAACCTCTGCTAATGTGTTTTAAAGCATTGATGATTAGACAATGCCCTGTTTATTCAGTTAAAGACAGCTCTCCAAAACACTTTGTATGTGCTCACCTGAACCCTGCAGAAAAAAGTTTCGTGCAGCCTTGTACTCCTCCAGCTGAATAGTTGTTGTCAGTCTCAGCTCAGTCAAGTCAAACTCCTTCAGTATGTCCTTTGTCACAAGATATTTCTGTGCCATGTCATTCAGGTGACCTGTGCAATAGTCATACCACAGGGAATCCAGTATCTCTAGTGAAGTACACAGGACTGTAACTATCAAACTTCCTGACTGGGCATCCAGGACAAGAACCTTGCGCACATCTGTTAAATACTCTAGAAATTCAGTTCGTTCCTCATGTTTGGTTGTGTCAACTGTCTGAAAGTACTTGTGTGTGATGAAATCCAGAACTCCTTGTGTGTTGGGTACAACATAAGTTTTAACACCTGCTTCTTCGATGCTTTCTGTTCTTCCCACGAGTGGTAGACCAGCAGATGCAGCAAGCTCCACTGCCTTACGCTTAGCTCCAGTAACTACCATCTTCAGGCTTCCTGCCTGGGTATCTTGTGTGCCTTTAGGCATTCCTTCTGATGTTCCAGTAACTACCAGCTCATCACCACAAGCTTGGGTACCCTGACTGACTACAACCACTGTCCCTGGTGTCTCTAGTTGTGAATGAGGGTCTGTGATGGCCTCACAATCAATCTGCATTTGAATTTTAACTGTAAGGGAAAAAGTGTTATTAATTGCAGCAACTAGCCATGACAAAAGAGGCAAAACAGACAATTACTTTGAGTCATTGTCCAGCTATAGTCAAATAACAAATAACTGACAGTCCTCTGCTTCTAAAATGTACGAAGCCATTTCTGTCAAAATACATGTAACAGTGAGCACTGCACAGGTAACCCTGATACATTGTGTAAGTGCCAGTGTTAGAGGAAAAATACTTTACTTTAAAGAAAAAATAAACAGTTACAAGACCTCCCTAACCTCATGATTGCAACCCAAACTGCAAAATAGATCAAAAGAGTGAACATTTAATCTCACAAATGACAGATATGGCTAATATAAAATGTCTCAGCTTAAGTAGGATGGATGGATGATTTAAGAGGAGAGGATCAAAACGGATTGCTTTCAATAATATTTAGAAATTTTCATTCCATGCTATGTGGGTATAATTTTGCTGGCAAGGAATTGGTGTTCAACTACTTAGATGTGTTTTTTCAAGCCTATGTAAGCTGAGAAATTTTACAAAAATACCTGAAATACTCTGATCTTAGTCCCTTTAGCATATATAATAATCAAACAAGTGACTCGAAATCTCAAGACCTGCATCTTAATTAAGTCATATTTAAGGACTGTTCTTGCAAAAAGTCTATAATCCTTTTACTTTTCAAGCTTTTCAGTTTATGACAGCATCTTGGAAAACTTAAATACACAATGACTGGGAAGCTTAATTTCCACTTACTTTTTTTTTTTGCTTTGTTTTTTTTGCAAAATTAAATAAATAAAAGTTTGGGAAGTTCAGCATTAATACAGCTGTAAAGGTTCTCAGTTTCACCTGGCTATCAAAAGACTTCATTTAAGGAGGTGAATGCATTATTCAGTTAAAAGAGACTTGAAATACGTTTCCTCAAAGAAGGGGAACTAGGCGCGCTAGAATGTGTAGTACGTTGCGTGACACAAGAAAGAAATCACTTAGCAGTCACGACGTGCTTGCAAGCCATCTACGTCGTTTACTCCCTATGATTTACAGGAGTACATACACAAATTCCACATCATCATTCTCTCCCGAGGTAACAATATATGATGTATCAGTTATCAAAAACAAAGAATTTTATCCATTCGCTTTAGCGGGGTAATGATGATAAACTAACGACACGCTTGCCGCTTTGATCATTCTCTTTGGAGGAATCAATTTATCAACTTCAACCTAAATTTTGACCGAACAGGAACCCAGCGAGGCTCAAGATACTAGTATTGTTTTGATTGAGCTGGTTTGCTGGTCAATCATCCTTCAACTACCGCAAACGACATTTCTTAGACATTCGAATCTGATGAAGATCTCGGAGATTTCCATTTGGGAGCTCGTTCACACTTCACTCACTTAAATTGCGCTCATTCGACAGATTTTCCTAATCACAAAGGCTATATCTTCAATAGATCTTCAGTAGCAATTTAAATGATGAGTTGGAGATTAGCTCGCGCAGAGAAAATTTCAAATCAAGGGCCTTACCTTTAGAGTTTTTTTCGTTCGAACTACATCGAACTACGGTCTGTGATTCTTTTGCGTCGGCATACCCGTGAAAAGCGGAAGTAAATGGGTTCGGAGCGTATCATGGGAAAGCCCAACAAAAAGATAATATCAGGGAAGGGACGGTAGGGCATCAAATTGTCGTCCATAGCTCAGTTCTACCTTTTCAAGACTTTGGACGCGCAATTGTAATTAACTTAATTAATAGTAGGAGTGGTCAACTTGCCAGCATTTTTATGTAAACCACACACTCTTACGGGGGGAGTGAGCCCAAATGTGTAAAAGATTGTAAAGCACATAAAACTCCAGCTATTTAACCCTTTAACTCCCAAGATTTCTTGAGTAATTCTCCTTACTGTCTGCCACACAATTTATGTGATGATAGTTTGGAGAATATGGAATTGGTTCAACCAACAATCCCTTAATTGATATTTTTTCTTTATTCTCATTACTTGTCTGCTTGATATCATACTGATAATGTAAGGAGAAATTCTGTCTAGGTCACTAATGGGACTTAAAGGGTACATGCATCTTCAAAGAATTTTGCATGCAAATAGACTAACCCACTACCTAAGGTGACATATGGTTTGCATACCATAATAAGCAAATTTATGGTTAAATATTAACCAAATTCTTCATGGAGGCTTTTCTTAACTTTTCTCATACCCCTCCCCCCCCTTCATATTTTTTGTTCTATTTATACAGAAAGCATAATATTTCTCACAGTAACACCACAAAATCTCCTACTTAGCTATTGAGCAATTTTGATTTTCACCAAATTGCATTGCCATAGTACCAGCATACTTTTGTATTGAGTTTAATCTGGAATAACATCAACTGAATTTAACCAAAATAACAAAGCCTCCATAGGTTTGTAGAGCAGCCTTTCATATGTAACTGAGCCAAATTTGGTAGAAAATAGATAAAACAAAATTGAAAAAAGCCTAAGGGGGGCATCAAAAAACTCTGTAAAAATCCCCTTTAGGGAAATTGCAGCTTAAAAAATTTGGAAAGCAAAATCACTGAGAAACATTCAATAAACATTCAATAAACATTCACTTTTGTCTCTTCTTAGCTGGTTCTGTTGTAACAGTCAGTTCATTTAAAGCACTAGCACTGTACATTGTGCCCTCTTTATGTCTCCATTGCTCCTCATCTCTTTGTTTTGCTTGTCTTTGAGCAACTCTTTATTTTTTAATGTTGATCCAGGGTCCTTTTAAATTCCCTCAGAGTCCTTTTTGGTGCTTTTCTTTTCTGGTTTTGGCCCTCGACAGCTGGCCCAGCCGGTTGCTCTTCCCAGCCGTTGCTCCTACACTGAATTGTAGAATAGCTGGTGCTGTTTCAAAGCTGAATTGTTTTGTTGTTTTTTTCCTTGCCATTTGTGATTTAGGTATCTAATCCACACTAGTATCTTCTCTACCAATTCCCATTTCACTGGCAACATAAACCATTCGGTGATTCAGATCTTTTCCTTACACTGTTCTAGGGGCATTATCTGGGGGATTAACATATAGATTTAGCCCAGCCGCATTTTTTTTCCCCGCACGTCTCAAGGGCACAACGCCTTGCTCCGGCCAAGACTAGAACCCGGGTCGTCCGACTCGGAGCCCAGTGCACTGACCACTGAACTACTATACAAAGCCGTGGCGTTGGCGTGCCCGCGGTACACATGCGGCTACACTCTGCGAGCTCCGCTATGATCACCAGTAGCAAGAGGGTCTCAATAGGGTGATGACTTTTACGGCTATCGGTTAAAATTTTGGCCAATTTCCGGCTAACGGTTAACACCTTTCCATTGTTTCCACCAGACATATTTTTTACGGTTAACTTTTTTTACGACTAACGGTTAAAATTTGTCAATTTTTACGTCTAACGGCTAAATATTTTGGCCGTTTTACGGCTAACGGTTAACCCCATTGAGACCCTCTAGCAAGACCACAATCATCACAAATAGTACATGTGCTGCTGCTGAGGCCAAATCGGCTTCGGCTCATTTCTCGAAGTATTTGATGGTCTACAATAGCAAAATTAAAGAATTAACTTAATACTAACGATGCAAGACGAGAAAAGCAGTAAAGAAGCACCTTTTATAATGAATACTAAGTGAATTGCGAAAGAAAAAATAATTGCCTCACCGGAAGAACATGGTGGATTAGAATGAATTCTCCTTGCAAATTCTACGAGACTCTCTATGGACACAAGACGGTATCCTTCTGGAATTTTACCTTTTGGATCTATGCTTCATTGGAAGAGCTTTCTGTGCATTCAACGGCAATTTTTCTCAAAGCAGCGGGCGTGGAATCTGTTCACTCACAACATCGTGAACGTGATTTCAGCAGCAGCATTTCTCGCTTGTTCCACAGGAAATTTCTTATGCTTACACTCATTGAATTTCGATTTCCTTTTTGTTTGTTTTTTTTTTCACAATTCTTTTTAGAAAGGACTGTTTTGTCCGATTTTTCCTCCTTTTGGCATAGCGTTGTTACGATTATGAGTTAGAGTCAATTGGAATCAGCATATAAACTACTTAGCAGCCAGGCCTCTTTACGCTTTGGAAACATTGAAAAGATAAATTTTGGAATGAACTGAACATATTCTCTACTTAGCAGCCAGGCCTCTTTACGCTTTGGAAACATTGAAAAGATAAATTTTGGAATGAACTGCAGGGACAAACGAATCATCGGACTCTAAAAAACCCTCCAAACGCCTTGGATTTGACGTGCATTTATTTGAAACGGTTTCTATGGAAACAGATCGACAAATTTGTTCACGTCATAAAGATTGAATTTTTTTCACCATTTTTTTGGTAATTTCCGATATTAAAAGCGTTGATACCTGAAAGCTGAAGAAAATTTTCCTGTCTGATAACGAGTAGAAAAAAAAATGACTGAGTTCGTAATTTAACTCAAAATTTCAGCCAGAATTCTCCCTTAAACAGCGCATGCCAAGGGTACTGCGTTTTTGTGCGTGTGTTTGGGGGGAGGGAGGGGGGTTATTACAAGATTATTTAGTTTTATAAACTGAGTTGATAATGTAAATTGCCATCATCAAAAGTTTCTAAAGTTATATACATCGGTAACATCTTTGTTTTCACGCTAGGGAAAGCATCATGTCTTAATAGCGTTTCTTTTTATCTTTAATGTTTTATAAAATCTCTAGCTATCCAGCCATCAAATATGTCGTAAATATCTTTTTGCAATAAAAACAGGAACCTTTCCAAAAAGCCCCAATCATTAACAGGCGTGCGTCAGGTGTTGGTCTTGGAACTTCAGTCTAAAAGTTTGGTACTAACACGACGGTGTACTTCACAGGAGATTTTACACTGCCTATGGAATGAATATTACTCAGGTCTTCTGAAGGGCATGGCTCAGAAATATCTTGTGACAGAGCAAGTTGTGAAGGAGTTTGACCTGACTGGACTGAAACTGACGACAACTACTCAGGAGGAGAATTACATAACTGCATGAGAATTTTTTCGCAAGGATTAGGTAAGAGGTAACACTCGAAACGACGGCTTTTGACCTCCTAACGGTGGCCAATTTACCTTATCAACTCCGTTGATTACTAAATCACCCTGTTATACTCTCCCACCGACGCATCATCACAGTTTATTTAGGAACTTACCCCTTTATTAATTTGAATTCCTATTTCCTTTCAGATCATGGTCCACTTCACATGAAAAGAGGCAGAAGTATTGGAAGTGGCCAAGAATCGACATCCTGTGAAAAGTTCCAGACTATCGTACCAGGAACGCTAGATAAAGGTTCAGTTTGCTTACCAATTGCGTTACTTTTAATCCACGCAAATGTAGTTGTCAAAGACGTAACGCAACCTTTCATACATTCCAACTGAATTATTAGTGTTATTAGTGTTTCTGTTTGTGCGTGTGTTTGAGCGTAGTAAATTAGTGAGTTCAGAGGTCACCAATAGAGATGATAACCATTTAGAGGAAGATATTCCGGAAGAGATCATTGTGGAGGACAACTGTTCAGAGCATTCTACTAGATATCCGGCGATATCCCTTTTGAGGGTGATTTTATGGATGATCTTCCCGACGTAATCATCGGAGCGGAAGTCACTACAAAGACAGAAACACCAGACGTTGCCTCTGAAAGAGAGGAAATTCCAGAAGAGATTGGTACAGAGAGAGATGCCCCAGAGAACGTTGTTGACAATTTAAATGATGATATGGCTGACGAGGTCATGGAATTAAGGATCTCCCCAGCTGATGATAATTTAGAGATGACGAAAATTTTGAAGACAATCACGTCGAGGCTGAGGAAATTATTGAAGAAGCTATCTATGAAAATGAAGGTTGTTTGAACGAAATCTCCATTGAATGCCTGCAGATTTCAACGATTAACATTCCAGATGTTTCCTGTTCGAATGATGAAATCCCTGAAGAGGTTGACGAAGGGAATGAAGCTTTCAAAATGACAGTTTAGAGGGTATTTTCCGCAGGATAAGTGGTCGGAGGACGTCATTTCAGAGGAAGGAACTGCAAGGATGAAAAGTCCAATGAAAATAATTCAAGTATATTACACTGAAGAAGGTAAAATTCCAGAAGAAACATTTCCTGATCAGATCCCAAGCTGTTACGTACTGGAGAAAATCATTTAACTCAACGACCTTGAAGTACTCGATAATACTTGATTCTTGCTTAATCTGCTTCCAAACTGTGATCTGTAAACACCTAACGGTAGAGTATTCCAGCCTGTGACAGGATGGGTGACGCTGCAAATCGTCCTCAGTAATCTGAAGAGCAGGGTGACATCAAAATCTGCTGGTTTTCCGTACACCCCTGGGCAGTCCCACTGAGGCTTACTGACACACCACTGTCATTACACCATGGCTTCGGCTGACTCAAAGTTTGACAAATTTGTCAGATACAGACATTGATTCTATTATTGATTTTATAATTCCTAAAAACACCAAGAAGGCAACTGCAGGGGGAATATTTGTTCTGAAAGGAGAGGTTGCGAGTTTTAAATGTTTCATTCAAGCTAGTTGAGGTGTTTTTGCGTGTTGTCAACAGTTTAGACAGTTTGTCTGGTTTACCGAGTATATAGAGGTTTCGATGCAGTGTTTCTTTGTGTAGTGTATTCGACTTAAATAATAATAATGTTAACGCACTCATTGCTCGTGAGTTATCGGGATTTCCCTATGCTCGTTCTCAAACAGTGAACTGGAAATTTTCGATACCGCACTCGGTAATGCCTCGTGGGGTATTTAAATTGCTCGTTCATTCGAATATAGATGCGATCCTCGAAGTAATGAATGCTATTGAACTACTAGTGAAAATAAGGCCTGAAAAAAAAATTCAGGCCATGTATCGGTATTGCAGAGGTCATGGGTTCAAATCCCGTACGGGCCTGAATTTTTTCCAGGCCTTATTTTCACTACTAGTTCAGTTGTATTCATAGCTGCGAAGATCGCTTCTATATTAGTTTCTTCAACCGCGGTGCACGTATATGATTTTCATATATTTACAGTCATTTATTCTCGTTCATTATTAGTGAACTTGTGCAGGTAAATTCCGATAATTCACTCGCTGAGTGCGTTAACCTGTAATTAACACTGACGCTAACTCTGAAAAAGTTCAAACCCAATCGAGTGAACAAAATGGTACTAAATTTTGCGAAAATTGTCAAAATTCTGATCTGCATTGGCACAACTGATTTTAATTTACCGTAAAAATAGTTCCTAGAGAGACTGAACCAAAGTATATTATAGCAAAAATGCAATTAAACAGTTTGACACGCTTTACACTCAGGCCATAAAACCGGGTGGATAAACTCGATCCGCAACTTACAGTACATACTTCGCACTTGGTTTATATGAGGTATGCATAAGTATTTGAAGTTTGGGTGCGTTATGGTTCAGTGATTCTTTTTGATTTATAAAACCTTGTGCAGTGAGCTAAAAGACAGCTGCCGTGAGTAATTGCTACACCTATATTCACCAAAACGTTATTTTGCTTACCACTTTGATTTCTCTCTAAAAAAACAAATTATAGATCACTTTTTACCAAGGAAATTGAAAATAAAAATCGAATTTCAAAGACAAAGTTAATTTAAGAAAGTAGGCAAATTTTCTTGGCTTACTGTTGATTGTATAACGAAACAAAATCTGGCGAAATTGTCTAGAAAAAAATTTTTGTTATATTGTACTGATCTCCGAAATTTTGTAAATAATTATTGCCGACAGGTCTTTGATCAAACTGGAAACACTAAGGGTACCTAATGTTTTCTTCTTGGTCTTGTAGAACCTGAAACGTTTGTTCATCTTTCAGGGTTTTGAAATCGTGATTGCATTTTTCAGCTTCATCTGTCCAAAAGACGCAAAAACAAAGCCAAACCGCCGGCCCCCGCTGCCCCTGACTAAGTTAAATATGAAAAATTAGACATGGTTTGATGCTACTTTGGTTTAAAGATTTAATTAATGTAACCGAGAAGTTACAGTTCATAGACCTAACGTTTCCACACTATTGTTTAGTGTCTTCATGAGGGAGTTATCTAATCGCTGCAACAAGAAGTCCTCCTATATGCTCACTAATTAGCTGCCCTTTTTCTGACGAGGTGTAAATAGACGTCAGGTATATTTAGTAGGCCGCCATCATCACGATTTAAAGGAGCGTGGGCGGAGTTGATATTCCAGGCTTCCAAACGAAGGCGCTGGTAATAACTTCAATTAGTGGTGATAATTTAAGACTTATCCCCTCCGACAAAGCTGAATTTTCTTTTTTGCAAAAGAAGACCGCTAAACCACCGCTTGGTTAGCTCATGTGGATGAGCGCCGGACTACTGTGCGGGAGGTCGGGGTTCAAGACCCAGGCTGCCTTTGCTATGACATCTGCAAGCGGTTAGACATTCTAGTCTTCTCGGATGAGGACGAAAAGCCGTTGGCCCCGTCTCTTGTATCTTCTCGGTACTGGGTAGTAGGGGACATTAAAGAACCCAGAAGACTTGCAAAAAGTAGGGGACGTAGTTCCCGCTGTTGTGGTCTGCCATAGATTCTGAAATTGGTGGCATCTGCTAAACCTCCTTCAAAAAAAATTGTAAACTGCTCAACGCAGTCTGACCAAAGTCCCCGGCAAAGTGTTGTAAAGCGCCTCGAGCAACATGGATATGTTTTCGGTGTTAGAGATGTTTTTCAGCTGCTGTATTATTGTTGCGATGGGAAAACAAAACCTATTTAAAACGCCGGCCTTTGTTTCGCCCGAAATTTTTCAGCGTAGCCAAATGTTGTGACATACAAGGCTCGCATTTCATTAGCTATGTTTGAGTTTCTTTGATTATTGACCAATCAGAATGTCTGGTTTGTTACTTTCTTTGCACTGAATTAACCCTTTCCTACATTGAATTACCGGAAAATTAAACTGTTTTTATATTAATTTTCATGTATATTGTTAAAACAGTTATTGCATTCAGTCGGTCATAAACTTTTAAAACTTATATATATTCAAATTTCTTTTAGAATTTTAATTTTCATCAGCCAGCATCAAGTATCAATTTTTCCTCTAAATTTCCGACATCCAAATACGATGTATTCTCAAATGGAAATAGGAAAAAATTAGCTAGGAGGTATTAACACTAAAAGAAACTGCTAAATAATCGATTTGATAAAGACAACGCAGTACCATCTCAGGACACTTAATCCTACAGTTTATTTGTTCATACAAAATTATTTAGTACTGAACATTAAAATAGGTTTTGGGAATTCTCAACGACACCTCTTCTATTCCTTTTGGCAAGAAATCTTGAAAGCGTTTTGGGTATAAACAAAAGATAAAAACTTGCCCGTTTATTATTGTCGCGATTTAAAGCCCAGATGCAGTAACCTGACTTATCTAATTTTACAACATTTTCCGATGTCTCCGATGATTCAATTATTTTTGTTTGAATGTGGATGTTTCCCACTATTGAGCCAGCTTAAATGCAGCTTGTCGCTGCACCAAGAAGCCAGAATTGTCTGACAAAAGTTACTGTTTTTTAATTTAATCAGTGGTGGTGCATAACATATCTCTTGCCGTCTTCACAGCTGCAACCCGAAGTTGGCGAATACGCCAGCAAAACAGAATTGGATTCAGGGACGAGTTCATAAACACAACGGTAGACGAGATGGTCCATTCCGTTTTCCATGTGGAATAAGAAATTCCAAAAAGAAACAGAAAAACATACGCGGGGAAGTAACATGCAATCATGAAGATATAAAAAACGAACGTGTTCAAAGCCCTTTGTTTTAATCGCATTTTTTCTGTGCGATTCTGAATGATGTGACTTTTTGTAGCTTGTTCTTGAGAGCGGATCTGCAATCGATGGCGTTGGACGATTTGGTAAATTTTAATGTAACAAAGAGTGGATATTGCAAGACAAACACCGGTGAGTATGGCGGAAAGTAGGTGAGATAAAACCTTATCCCATAAGAAAAGTCCTGAAGAGATCAAGATAATCAACCATACCGCTACTATAGAATAGATCACTCGGGAGTTAGTCACAAGAGTTGCATATCGCAAGTGATATTGCAGGGCGATAAAACGATCCATGCTAATGGCTGTTGTGGTTGTGAGAGAAATACCACATAAGGCGAATCCAATCATTGAAGAAATAGCGTTCAGAACGTGGTTCTTCATAATGAGCTCATCTGCAATAAACAACGGTTGAGCGATAAGACCTACCAGGAAGTCTGTAGTAGCAAGACTACCGAGCATGATCATTGACGGAGAACGAATCGACGGAGTCCTTATGATGGCGGCAAGAACCAACGTGTTGCCCAGTATTGATACAAGCATTAATGGTGCGTTCAAGGCACAGTTCACAACGACGAAAGGTTTAGCGTGAAAGTTGTGATTTCCTGATTCGCAGTTTGAGAAGTTAGTGTTATTTTCCATCCTAGGCCTCAAGTCATCTGTCTCTGCACAAACGTTATTTCAAAGTTGACACAGCAAATCAGCTCAGTTGGAAGGTGATTTAGTGTTAACAACCGAGTTGAAAACGTAAATTGACCACCGTAAAGAGAAAAAAAGCTGATGTTTCAAGCGTTAGCCCTTCGTCAGAGCGATTGGAAGAATTGTGGGATGTGTATAAGTTTATATGCAGAAAGTGGAGCTATGCTATTGGTGGGAGTATGGTGACGAGAAAACAAGAATAAATTATTTAAGTAAAAAGCACTCGTTGATGCCGTGGGGATTAAGGGTGCCGATTTGGTAGATAAATTTTTGTTCTAGTGTTTTGTGGCTTTCCGAACTGCCTTGATGTAAGGAGACGCCGCAAACTGCCATATGTTGTTTAGAATGATTAAGGAGATTAAAGTGTCTGGCGACTGGTTTGCGTCTTTGTCATTTCTTTCCACGTCGCAGTGTTCTCGGAATCGGTCACCTAGTCGTCTTCCTGTTTCACCAATCTATAACTTCTTGCAAGTGCAAGTTACGCAGTAAACGACAATGGCGGAGGTACACGTAAAGTGATCAGTGATCTTAATGGATCTCTTGGGTCCCGATATTTTCTCTTCGTTATGAATGAAAGGACAAGTTTTGCATTGTGAGCGACCGCGTTTGAAAGTTGAAAATCGGTCATTGGTTTGAAATGAACTTCTGACCAAAAAGTTGCCTATGTTTTTGTTACGTTTGAATGAAATTAGTGGGGGTAGCAAAAAGATAGTGCCAGTCTCTGAATCATTTTGCAGTAATTTAAAGTTTTAAAGAATGATAGATTTAACCGCGTGGTTGTGACGCTGAAATGTGAGAGTGAATGGAATGTGGTCAGTGTTTTCCTTTTATCAGCCGTTTGCAGTGCTGACTGTCGATCAATTTTTTGGGCGCGGTGGTGGCCCGCTTGAACGACAGAAACAGGATAACCACGTTTATCGAAAAACTGGCACATTGTCTCTGATTTTTCGGAAAAATCGGAGTCGTCACTACATAGACGACGAAGTCTGAGAAACTATGAAAAAGGGTATGGAGTTCTTAACGTGTGATGGATGCGAAGATGAATACGACAAGTAACTATGTGAATCTGTAGGATTGTAGTAACCACTAGTGCATAAACCGTTGTCTTCAATTGAAATTTTGATGTCTAGAAAAGCCAAAGAGGTGTCGGAAATTTCCTAGGTATATTTAAGAGCCGGGTGAAAGGAAGTGACGGTGGTTATAAATTGATTGAGCTCTCTGGTAGAGGAGGTAGCGCCGATGCAGTCGTCAATGTAAGGTGTCAGAAAGTTGCTGCAAATGTTCAGCCTTACAAAAGTTGCCTCTTTTAATCTTAATCTGTGGAGTACACAACATCCCTTCAGTCATCTTCAGCATTGTAACTGGAAGGTCGCGAATACGCCAGCAAAACAGAATTTGATTCAGGGACGAGTTCATAAACACAACGATAGACGAGATGGTCTCGGTCCAGGCTATGTAAGAAATTCCAAAAACAAAGAGTAAAATATACGCGGGAAAGTAACGAGCGATCATGAAGATTTAAAAAAAACAAACATGCTCAAAGCGCTTTGTTTTAATCCCATTTTTGCAGTGCGATTTTGAATGCGACTTTATGTAGCTTGTTCTTGAGAGCCGATCTGCAATCGATGGCGTTGGACGATGTGATCAATTTTGATCTAACAAAGCGTGGATATTACATGACAAACACCGGTGAACGTTGCGGAAAGTAGATGAAATACAACCTTATCCCATGTGATAAATTAACTGAACTCTATTTAATATTCAAGTAACACTACTGGAATAACACCGAACAAGTTGTGGAAAAAAAATAACAGTAAAAGTGGAAATAGCTGCGAAAACATTGACTTTGCAGGGTGTCAATATGACTGGCTAAACGACATCTGATCGTGTTTCGAAATCAGTAATAAATTAACTATTCCTGATTAACTTTAAGAAGTCCCGAAGAAAAGCTCAATTCTTATTGAATTTTGATAAGTTCGAGTAAGTTGAACAGATTTCGCAATTTTTAATTAAACGATGAGAATCGCTCAATCTGCGTCCAGGAAATTCATTTTGTCGCGCAAATCCGTCGTCTCAAATTATCTTTTCATACTTTCTGTTATAAGAGTAGGAAAAATTAAAAACCTTGCCCAAAATTAGCAATTTAATTGGTCTGAATTAGTCACGTACATAGCTTTGCGAGTCCTAGTTTGAAAACACCGGTCTATCTTGCCGTCTGAGATGGATAATTCTTGCCCAATAACCTTGGCGCAAACCCTTATATCCTAGTAATGGCCTAAGTTTCGAGACCCCCCGTCTCTCCCGGAAAGTTAAAAAGTCTTTTAGCCTGGAAATTGGATTCATCGCCGTTGAAGCAAAACGAACAAGCGGGTTTTCTATACCATTCCGATGAGACTGGGTAAACAAGTTTGCCTCATCTGTCTTTGACTGCTTAGGCGAGGGTGATTTTTTTTTCTTTCCTTTTCTTTTTCTCTTCTTTTTCCTTTCAAGGAGGACTGCAAGCCAGATTTCCCACTGAGACATTCGTTTCTTTCCATAAAGTAACTAATAAATAGATAAATGAAAAAAACTCAGAACAAATCCTCCATGTAAACATCAAAGTTTCCCAGCGCCAGTGAAGCACGATTTTGAGGGACTTCCTCAGTTTTCACATTTTAACAGTTGATGCGTTTATTCAAGCTTATTAAAATTTTCCTACTTTCTTTTTTTAACCAGTGCAGTGCGTTTTTCTAAGAGGCGATGAATATCAAAAGCTTTTGGACGCTTTTTCTACACAACATCTTTCTCAGTGTGTTCAAAACTGCAGTGCGTAGCTCTCGAATACGGCAACAATGCAAAAATGGGTTTACAGATGAATTCATGAATACTACAGTGACTGAAAAGCTCCATAGCTCCATTTCTGCCCAAATACTCCAGTCAATGTAATAAATACAAAAAATGGGAAATAGCACAGAATAAGAGCGATATAGAACAAGAATGTGTTCACAGCACTTCTCTTCAAACGCAGGATGTTTATTTCAACTTCTGAAGCTTTCTACAATATTTTTCTGGATGTGAATTTGTCTTTGGTTTTTACGAACGATGCAGTATATACCTACATACGAAACGGTGGATACCATGAAACAAACTACGACGATAAATCCAACAAATGTGCGATGTAAACGCCTATTCCAAAAAAAAAGTGCCATGCTTGGGGAACTGAACAGCCAAATGATTGCAGCGGTACATATGATGGGGAATTTGGTAACCACAGTAAAATATCGTAAATGATAATGAAGAGCGAGAAAACGGTCCAGACTTATAGCTGTTATCGTCAAAAATGAAACACCACAAACAGAATGGCCTACGCTTGCCTCGAGGGCAAGTAAATTGGATCTTCTCGAGAGTTGCTGCCCGATGTAAAGTGACTGTACAACCAGTCCAACGAGAAAGTCAGTAAGCGCGAGGCTGCACACCATGATCATTGAAGAAGACGAACAAATGGAGGGGGTTTTTGTAATAGGAAGTATTACCAAAGCGATACGAACACCAAAGGAACATTCAGAACACAGTTTATGATTACCAGTAATGATTGAGAATTACCAGGTTCTTCACTGAAGGAATCATGATTTGCCGATCCGTTGTTATCTCTGCTGATGTTGCTCATCTTTCATCCACTATTTTAAAGCCACCCTCTCAAAGCATTTTGTTCCACGTCTTCCAGATTGACAAAGACAGCAGAGACAGACGAACCCATAGCTGTAGTCTACATGTAGCCGTACCCTCCCCCCCTTAGGAGAAACGGAACGCTCGCGTTTCACCTTGTGGGGGGTGGGGGGGGGATACGGCTATACCTGGGCTACCATAGCTTTTCCAAAAACAGATAGTAGGCTCCGTTGTAAACAAATTGCGTGGTTTTTAGGCAAAAAGACAGCGGATGAATCATATCCTCCACAGATAAAGAAGTGAACGGAACTACGTTTGAAGGCCTCCTCAAAACATTCGTTTAACTGCTGAGCTTATTCAACGTCAAGCGTTACCAATCTGTCATGGGCAATGTAGTTCCTCTTTGGGAGTCTTTCTTACGTGGCTTTTCATATGATTACATCAATAATTCAAAGTGAAGAGACTAAATTGAGTGATTTAACAGCAACTTTAAGGCTTTTTGATGAACAAGACATTAAATACTGTTCGCAGCCAAACTCGTCAGTGCAATATGAATTATTTTTGGGCTGTTCTACAGCCTGCGTTTGTTTGTTTATCTGTCGTCAAATTACGAACCAGAAGGCTCTTAAGTTTTCAAATTTGAATATAGTGCTTTGTATCTACTAAAATTAGAAAAATGACTGATTTATCGATGGAATGAGCTTTCAAAGGCAGGCTGAGATAAGAAAATGTTAGAATGAGTTGAGGGGGTGTGTCCTCGCATTTTCCAAAATTACTTGACTACCTTGCTCTCTATAATAAAAGAGATGTCGCTCTTTCCAATAATGGGCCATCGCATTTTATACTAAGATGGGCTGTCGCACTTTGTAACAACAGCTGTTGCACTGAGTAAGAAACTTGATACTGATATGGACAGACGCCAATGAAAGCTGTCATTGCTAACGATAATAGTATAGCACGAACAATAATAAAACTGATAATAATAATACTGACAAAAGGGCGACGAAACAAGAGGAAAGGAAGTCATTAAAGTTTGAAAATCGTGCTTTAGAGGTCATTGACGTTCTCGTGGGAGACAGATGCTACACCGCACGTGCGGGATTTAAATTTTAAAACACCGACATCGCAAGAATGAGGAGACACATTTCTCTAATATTTTTATATCCCGGTCATAGTTATAGACAGGTGCCTGCGGGTTCGGGGGGAAACCCACTTGTCCTGTCGATATGCAATTTCTACACGTATACCATGTCATAACCTATCAAAAGCAATGATCGGCAACTCCTCTTTACTACTTAAACAGTTAATGGACTCAGTCGGCCATGAGTTTTTAATACTTATATATATTCATATTTCTTTTAAAATTTGAATTTTCATCTCTCAACATCAAGTCTCAAGTTTTCCACCTAAATTTCTGAAATGCAAATGCAATGTTTTTTCAAGGGAAATAGGAAAAAAAATAGCTATAAGGTATTAACACTAAAAGAAACTGCTAAATAATCGATTTGTTAAAAAAACAACGCAATACTAACTTAGGAAATTTAATTCTACAGTTTATTTGTTAATACAAAATTACTTAGTAATGGACATTACAATAGGCTTTGGGAACTCTCAAATCTTGAAAGCGTTTTGGGTATAAACGAAAGGCAAAAACTTGCCCGTCTATCATTCTCGCGATTTGAAGCACAGATGCCGTAACCTGACTAATTTCACAACATTTTCCGATGTCCCCGATTGATTCAATTTTTTATATAGATTTGGATTCTTAGCACTATTGAGCCAGCTTAAGCGCAGCTTGTCACTACACTTAAAAGCCAAAATTGTCTGACAAAAGTTAATGTTTTTTAAATTAATCAGTGGTGGTGCATAACATATATCTTACCGTCTTCACAGCTGCAACCCGAAGATGGCGAATACGCCAGCAAAACAGAATTGGATTCAGGGACGAGTTCATGAACACAACGGTAGTCGAGATGGTCCATTCAGTTTTCCATGTGGAATAAGAAATTCCAAAAAGAAAGAGCAAAACATACGAGGGAAAGTAACATGCAATCATGGAGATATGAAAAACGAACGTGTTCAAAGCGCTTTGTTTTAATCGCATTTTTTCTATGCGATTCTGAATGATGTGGCGTTTTGTAGCTTGTTCTTGAGAGCGGATCTGCAATCTATGGCGTCGGACGATTTGATAAATTTTAATGTAACAAAGCGTGGATATGGCAAGGTAAACACCGGTAAATATTGCGGAAAGTAGGTGAAATAGAACGTTATCCCATAAGCGAAGTCCTGAATAGATCAAGATAATCAACCATACCGCTAGTATAGAATACATCACTCTGGAATTGGTCACAAGAGTTGCATATCGCAAGTGATATTGCAGTGCAATAAAACGATCCATGTTAATAACTGTTATGGTTGTGAGAGAAATATCACATAAGGCGAATCCTATCATTGCGGAAAGAGTGTAAAGAACATGGTTCTTCGTAATGAGCTCATCTGTAATAAACAACGGCTGAGCGATAAGACCTACCAGAAGGTCTGTAGCACCAAGACTACCGAGCATAATCATTGACGGAGAATGAATCGACGGAGTCCTTATAATGGCAGCAAGAATCAACGTGTTGCCCAGAATTGATATAAGCATTAATGGCGCATTCAAGGCACAGTTCACAACAACGAAGGGTTTGGCGTGAAAGTTGTGGCTTTCTGATCCGTGGTTTGAGAAGTTAGTATTATTTTCCATTCTCAAGTCATCTGTCTTAGCACAAATGTTATTTCAAAATTGACACAGCAAACCTTCTAAGTTGGAAGCGCTCGCGTGCATTCACAATAAGGACGTACACGAATAAATTAAGACATACAGCGTCAATGGAATCGATTATTCTTTAATTTCTTTGGGTCAACCTAAATTTGGTTAACGATTGGTTAACTTCGAGGTAAACAGATATCCCTTGTAATCTAATTTCAACTAAATTAATCTTTGGTGTATTGCAAAAAGGGCTATTTTTGGACATCTAGTTAATACTTTGGTATGGAATGACCTAAAGCGGTGTTCCTCTTCAGTGTCAGTGGTTAACGATTGGTTAACTTCGAGGTAAACAGATATCCCTTGTAATCTGATTTCAACTAAATCAATTTTTGGTGTATTGTAAAAAGGACAACTTTTGGACCTCTAGTTAATCCTTTAGTATGAAATGATCTAAAGAGGTGGTCCAGTCATTGACACTGAAGAGAAGAGAAGAGGCTGTCTCTCTTATTTCCACCGGTCAATTTCGCGTCAAAAATAATTTTGCCTGAAACTCTATCATAAAGAAGACTTTACCTAGGAAAGAACTAAATTAGATTTGGTTTGATTCGAAATAATTTTCTAACTGCATTAGGCGCCATAATTATTTCCTAGTCCGTAGGGACCGTCGCAACGTCTCGAAAATTGAAAAATAGGCATATTTGTAACATTGTAAAATATTTGATTCTCATAGTTAAGCCACATAATTCATATCAGATTGCTTAAAAATCTCTCTAGTTTGCCAAGAAAGTTAGAATTTTTCCTCTCAATATATTTGAAAAGGCGAATTTTAGCATATTCTGACCACTAGAAATCGCCATCGGCCGCTGGCCGTAAATAACCTTGATGTAGACGTTAAGTTTTGGGATTTGGGACCTGGTTGACGACTCTATCCTACACAGCCGTCAATTTTAGACCTTTATAGGCAAAAATATGCAAAAACCCTGTACGTTTTCGATTTTTCAAAAGCTATGACCGTTTGAATCAGCACATGTACGAGCATTCGCGATTTTTTCGCCTACACCAAAATCGAACCATTGGAGCAGATTTCGTTTTAGGCTTCTGAAGTGAAGAAATAGTCGCTTAAATTTAGATCACGACGATCCAGTTCGATGTTATACTGTTCTTACAAAGGTCCGCACAAAAGATCGATAGAAAAGACCGCTGATAGCTTGTGCCGTATGTTTTTGTTTTGTATCCCAATTTACATCCCAATGTAATATTTGGGGAGAAAAATTTCGGATGAAAATAATAAATTCTTTTACCTGGAGTTTGATATCATATAATTAATAAATCAATTTCAAATATCCTGAGCTTGCTACTCTCGGTTCCGCGTCGATTGTGTCCACAGATCAGCAACCTGTCAATAGCCGGAGAAATCGGCTACCAACGTGATAAAAACTTTGACACATGTTTCTTATGAACAGATGTTGTAAGTGTTGCTATTGGTAAATTTTCAATCATTTTCATCAAAACATTTCACTGACTTCTAGATATTATAATATATTACACTATAACAACGCCGTCAGAACTTGAACTCGGAACTAGAGGTAGTTTGTTTCTGTAGAGCATATTCTACGCTTCCAGCCACCGTATGAGACATTGTTTACATAAGTCTACTGAGAAACACATTGACAATCACTAATCACGTCCGACAGTTTGTCTAAGAGGACCTTTTTTTTTGTCTTTCAATTTTACAGGGATCTCAAAATGACTTTAGATGGCTCTCAACAAAACCAAATTGAATTTCTGAAGTGTGTTACTGTGGTAACGTTCACAGAGGTGATACGTGTCGTAGCAGATTGGATGTGAGACTTTGATGTTTTCGTTAACTTTGTCTACCAGATCTTGTCTCTCGGAATTTTCCTGGACGCATTGGACATCTTCCTCCTCATCCAGCGATATCCCAATCACACCATGATCTTTTCGTCGCATTGCTGCTAGCCAGGAGAGAAATCTCTGAACTTGGCTCTTTGTCAGCCACTGTTCTCTAGTGAATACGTGCATTTGATTCATTTTTCGCATTTCGAATGTCCACTGCAACTTGGGCGGGGTCTGCCTTTCGCCCAGTTCTTTCTACAAGTGTAAACCGTGCCGTTAGGAATTCTTTTACCTTCTCTGAAAATCTAACGCTGCCTCTTGGTTTGCTTACGGCCCATCCTGTTCGTAGAGACGAGTGGGGCGAAGTATCCCCGGGAGAAGTGAGTGGCGTACTGGAATCTAACGAACAGCTCGAGCACTCGATACCAGCGGTATCTATCGACGAGAACTTTTAAAGGGCCAAGTCCCTTTATATTGCATCATACTGACTGTATGGTTTCCAACGTCCAGGTGCAGCTCTAGCCGCGAAAACGTTTCGAACACTTCAACACATCCAAGCACAGAGCATTGAAACAATGGCGTTGTACTCTCTGTTTCCTTACTGCCCTTTGAACGACGCTTGACCACACATTTTTCAGGAGGATCATAAAACCCTTGAGATTCTATGGTTTGAAGGGACGTTTGACCTTGGTGCTTGATATAAATTACGTCATATGGAATGTACTTCCCTTCACAGATGCCATAACATTTCCAAACTCTCAGTCCGGTATCTCCATATTCGAAGTTCCGGAAGCTACTAAAATGCTCAATCTTATTTATACAGAAGTGCTCTTTGATTCGTCGACTATGCTCATTGTAGCTGTTGTTCCCTTCACTGGGCGTTGCGTCAATGCATCTCTCATGTCCACGGCAGTTAGAACATCGTGCCCTTCGTTGCAGTAAGCAGGAATAGAGGACTTCATTGAACAGAGGATACGATAGCAAATGTCTTTACCAGATTTCGGCTCCGAGTAGTGATAACTATGAACTTCAACCCCAACTCCTTTTGCGAAATCTCTCCCAGCGGTTACTAAGGAGCGGTTGTGATAGCAACCGGTTTCATTTGACCTCAAATGGACTTTCTGCAGCAAAGGATTCTTGACTTTCAGCTGCTTTAGAAGATCTTCGAGAATTGACGTAACTACATACCAGTCCTGAGTACACTGATCAAAGAGGTGAGCGTACGAGATGACTTCCGTCGTGTTAGACTGGCTTCGAGACATAACGCTACTGATGTGCCAACTTAACCCTCTTTTTCCGTACCAGTCACTTTGCTTCTCTCTATATAGCGAAGCTGCAGAAATTTCATGGCCCAATCTATAACAAGAAGACATGAAGTCTGGTCAAGCTTTGCGATAAGATCTTACTTTGCACATTCCTGATTCACGGATCTCATAATGTGAGCTTTTCCACGGGACGATAGCCTCCGAAGATTTCTGGATGTCGTACAACCAGTCACTTTTTTGGTCCTCGCTGTAAAAACTTAAGGTTTTGTTATCCTTAACAATCTGTTGCATCTTCTGCAAAACGGAAGTAATCTCGTCGCATTGAGGGCAGAGAAGCGTATGTTGAAGTGAGCATTGTTTCTGGAAATCTGGATCGTTCGGATCGCTGAGACCTAACTTACGACGGTGGTCGGGACATTCGCTCTCATCTTCCTGGCAGTGGCTCTGAAACTGGGTTTTGAGGTACCTCTTATCCTCGCTGAGGGCTCTCCGCAGTTCGCCTGCCACTTTCTTGGCGAGCTCAATCTGATCAAGCTGGTCCACTATTCGGAGGAGTTGAGCGAACCTCGCCGACCCGTCAGCTGCTGTGTTATCCAGGCCGCTATAGGACTTCTATTGAGAGGCTTCCCTTACCTCGAGGATGCGAAATAGGGTTGAACGGCTTAGTGATTCAAACTGTTCTTCTTCGGAGAACTGAAGGTACTGCTTGACCATTGTTGACCTTGTGACTTTGCGAATGACATTTGGCATTGTGATCTTCTCGCCGCTGCTGAGCCTCAGTTTCCTCGTACTAAATGGCACGTCTTGATAAAAGTACGGGCGGTTCGCGAAGTCTAAGAAATGGTCAAGCTTTATTGGTGGCAGTCGAACTCGATGACACGGGGACTTTTCGACCAAAGAACCTGGACCCCACTCTCTTGCATGAGCTCTAGCGCGTCTAATTTGCCACTCGCTTAAATTTGAGTATGGCTCGTGGATTTTCTGAAGTGTCTTCACTGGATATCGATACGCATATAGGCTTAGAATTTGGGTTTTCAAGGTACTCGTCATGGCGTTGCTGTAGGCCTGCATCAACGGTACAAGGTCTAAGTGGCTGGTCCCTTTATCTGGTGTAAAACAGGCCTGAAATAGCTGTTGTCCAGCCTTCGGTGCTATGATGTCACAAACGAGAGTACAAGTTTCAGTAGCCTTGTCAATGCAAACCTCTTTCTCGTGTTCTTTTGCCTACTCCCATGTACTTTTCAGCTGAAAGGTCAAGGGACTGACGCGGCTAGCACCGGTTGCTACCGGGTTCGGTTTCTCCATGGCATCTGTAAACGCTGACATTGCTAACTCGCTGGTACTTTCAGCTGCCTCGTCGTCTCCAGAGCTCTGGCTGTTGGTCTCAGATCTGCATCCCAGAGTCCAATCAGCTGTAAAGGCATTTGCTTTCGGTCGAGGCGGCGTCGCGGCAGGCGTTGATGTGACTGTTGCAAGATTTAAAGCTGCCATTCGTTTGGCGAGTCTGGGAGTTTAGAAAATCAAACAAAAATTTGAAGTCCTCCCGCCATGTGATTGACTGCGTAGTGTGTCCCCACTGAAATCTTTGCGCGCATTGTTGCGAAAGTTGAATTTGTTGCTGACGAAGAATGAGTTCTTCGTCAGCAATACGCGCAAAAAATTCCGTTCTATTCACTATCAGCACCACCACGTGCAATTGTATGGTACATTAATCGACCATTTTCTCTTTTTAGGTCATCCAATACAAAGCCAAAACACTATTTGTCACTTTTTTCGAAAATGTTTCCCATTTTGGCCACGTACCTGTAAAAATAACTTGCTTGTTATAAATGTTATAGTGTGTGGCCACGCCTAGAAAAACAATTTTGCTTGCATGCAACATTTCAATTGAACATTTTTCCCTTAAAATTTCTTCAGGTGTCAATGCATATGATGGTCTGCTTTATTTATAGGATTAGTTAGCGTTATATCACCTATAAGGTTCGTTCTCTTGCTGGTTACTTTCTTCGGGACGTTGCCCTTGCAATAACGTCATGTTCTCCGTGAGTTTGATCTTGTGCAGCTTGTAACAAGATACGCAGATTACTTAAAAGCACGAAATACAACAATAATGCAAAATGATAATAAGCAGAGCAATACTTATAGATAACAAATAAAAATTGTTTCACTATGATCACGTGACCCCGGGGTACTCTCTTAAATTTCGGATAGGGGGTGTGTTGCAGAGGTTGTTAAACTCTGACTCTATTTAGGGATAAAAGGGCGAAAATCGATGCCTCCTCGTTTTTATATCAATAACACAAAAAGGCTTTGTGTAGATGTATAAATGTCAAAAACAGAAGGAATGTTATCTTGCATCGGCGTAAACATTGGTGTCAAATTACTCTCCAAGTTTATTTATCTAGTATCTCGCCTTGCGTGTATGACATAAAAAAAATGCTTTTGTAAACATGTAGATATTAGAGATAAGGTAGGGCAGCAAAACCTAATGTGTTACGCATTTTTAGGTGCAGTTTCTGTGTTTCAAGTTTGCTTCAGAGTAATGTTCCAAGTCGAAATGTGATTTAACTTATCACGTTGCATCAGCTGCCACATGGCCTCCATGTGGCATCACGGTACGTATCTTGGGACGAAATCACAGCAGTTATTTTGTTTTACACTCACGAGCGTACAGGCTTTGGCCCAATGTTAATCAAATTCCAAAATACTGAATTCTGACATTTGTCGCACCTCAATATATGTGTAGATACTATCTTAATTTAAACCCTGCCCCACATTTCAGGACAATACGTGGTTGGTAAGCTAGAATTTACATAAAAATCATACTTGCAAGAGCCTGTTGGAACGAGTTCTGCAAAGATAGTGTTAATTCTCCCTTGACATGTCGAGATGAACTGCATTTCTAGTATTTAGCCGCTTTTTCCGGCCGTTGTGCAGTGGGTACTGGCAAGTGCAAGGTGGTTGCCAGTTTTTACCCATGTTTCCTCTATGCTTTTCGCAGATCCAAAGTTCTTCAAGTTGATCAGGGGAAAGGTCGTGTGGCAACCCTGACCTGTTAACGATAAGCTCATATTCTTGTACCGTTGTACCGTAGAAGATCATATGATATCACCTCTACATTCTGAAAGCTTTATCAACCTCGCTGAAGACTCACTACAGAATGAAGCCTCTCTGGTTTCGAAAAAGCACTTGCATGCCATACTACACTTGCAAGCCTTCCAGAAAAAATAATGGGCCAGCGGGTTCACCCGGAATGGTTAATGCGAACCTCTGTTATGCGCGATAGTTCAATCGTTCAGCTTTAAATTCCAAAGTTTAGCCCCCAAACTTCGACACATAGACTTACAAGTGGAGTTCTATGTCTGATTCTTGAGGAGAATGCAGCTGCAATCCAAAGTTTCAACAGGACATTAAGCGCGAAACATGGCTTTAGTTTTCGATTTTAGTTCGCAACGAGTCAAAGAAGAGTATCGATAGATGCCGACCGCTTAAGTTTGGAGTTATTTGCTGGAGTTATCATAAAGTTCACCAGTTTGGGGAGCGAGGAATATCTGAAATCTCACATAAACCCAAGATGCGCCGAAGGTAAACTGTATTTATGACGAAATATGCTCCAGTGCTTCGATTTTGGTGTAGGCGAAAAAATCGCGAATGCTCGTACATGTGCTGATTCAAACGGTCATAGCTTTTGAAAAATCGAAAACGTACAGGGGTTTTTGCATATTTTTGCCTGTAAAGGTCTAAAATTGACGGCTGTGTAGGATAGAGTCGTCAACCAGGTCCCAAATCCCAAAACTTAACGTCTACATCAAGGTTATTTACGGCCAGCGGCCGATGGCGATTTCTAGTGGTCAGAATATGCTAAAATTCGCCTTTTCAAATATATTGAGAGGGAAAATTCTAACTTTCTTGGCAAACTAGAAAGATTTTTAAGCAATCTGATATGAATTATGTGGCTTAACTATGAGAATCAAATATTTTACAATGTTACAAAATATGCCTATTTTTCAATTTTCGAGACGTTGCGACGGTCCCTACGGACTGGGAAATAATTATGGCGCCTAATGCAGTTAGAAAATTATTTCGAATCAAACCAAATCTAATTTAGTTCTTTCCTAGGTAAAGTCTTCTTTATGATAGAGTTTCAGGCAAAATTATTTTTGACACGAAATTGACCGGTGGAAATAAGAGAGACAGCCTCTTAAATGTATTAGACAACCAGTCATGGACACTGAAGAGAACCACCTCTTTAGATCATTTCATACTAAAGGATTAACTAGAGGTCCAAAAGTTGTCCTTTTTACAATACACCAAAAATTGATTTAGTTGAAATCAGATTACAAAGGATATCTGTTTACCTCGAAGTTAACCAATCGTTAACCACTGACACCGAAGAGGAACACCGCTTTAGGTCATTCCATACCAAAGTATTAACTAGATGTCCAAAAATAGCCCTTTTTGCAATACACCAAAAATTGATTTAGTTGAAATTAGATTACAAGGGATATCTGTTTACCACGAAGTTAACCAATCGTTAACCAAATTTAAGTTGACCCAAAAGAATTAAAGTGTAATCGATTCCATTGACGCAGTATGTCTTAATTTATTCGTGTACGTCCTTATTGTGAATGCACGCGGGCGCTTCCAACTTAGAAGGTTTGCTTCAATTTTGAAATAACATTTGTACTTAGACAGATGACTTGAGAATGGAAAATAACACTAACATCTCAAACCACGGATCAGAAAGCCACAACTTTCACGCCAAACCTTTCGTTGTTGTGAACTGTGCCTTGAATGCGCCATTAATGCTTGTATCAATTCTGGGCAACACGTTGATTCTTGCCGCCATTATAAGGACTCCATCGATTCGTTCTCCGTCAATGATTATGCTCGGTAGTCTTGCTGCTACAGACCTTCTGGTAGGTCTTATCGCTCAGCCGTTGTTTATTGCAGATGAGTTCATTATGAAGAACCATGTTCTTTACACTCTTTCCGCAATGATAGGATTCGCCTTATGTGGTATTTCTCTCACAACCATAACAGTTATTAGCATGGAGCGTTTTATTGCACTGCAATATCACTTGCGATATGCAACTCTTGTGACTAACTCCCGAGTGATCTATTCTATAGTAGCGGTATGGTTGATAATCTTGATCTATTCAGGACTTCGCTTATGGGATAACGTTCTATTTCACCTACTTTCCGCGATATTTACCGGTGTTTACCTTGCCATATCCACGCTTTGTTACATTAAAATTTATCAAATCGTCCGACGCCATAGATTGCAGATCCGCTCTCAAGAACAAGCTACAAAACGGCACATCATTCAGAATCGCATAGAAAAAATGCGATTAAAACAAAGCGCTTTGAACACGTTCGTTTTTTATATCTCCATGATTGCATGTTACTTTCCCTCGTATGTTTTGCTCTTTCTTTTTGGAATTTCTTACTCCACATGGAAAACTGAATGGACCATCTCGACTACCGTTGTGTTCATGAACTCGTCCCTGAATCCAATTCTCTTTTGCTGGCGTATTCGCCATCTTCGGGTTGCAGCTGTGAAGACGGCAAGATATATGTTATGCACCACCACTGATTAATTTCAAAAACATTAACTTTTGTCAGACAATTTTGGCTTCTAAGTGTAGTGACAAGCTGCGTTTAAGCTGGCTCAATAGTGCTAAGAATCCAAATCTATATAAAAAATTGAATCAATCGGGGACATCGGAAAATGTTGTGAAATTAGTCAGGTTACGGCATCTGGGCTTCAAATCGCGAGAATGATAGACGGGCAAGTTTTTGCCTTTCGCAAATAACGCTTTCAAGATTTGAGAGTTCCCAAAGCCTATTGTAATGTCCATTACTAAGTAATTTTGTATTAACAAATAAACTGTAGAATTAAATTTCCTAAGTTAGTATTGCGTTGTTTTTTTAACAAATCGATTATTTAGCAGTTTCTTTTAGTGTTAATACCTTATAGCTATTTTTTTTCCTATTTCCCTTGAAAAAACATTGCATTTGCATTTCAGAAATTTAGGTGGAAAACTTGAGACTTGAAGTTTAGAGATGAAAATTCAAATTCTAAAAGAAATATGAATATATACAAGTATTAAAAACTCATGGCCGACTGAGTCCATTAACTGTCTAAGTAGTACAGAGGAGTTGCCGATCATTGCTTTTGATAGGTTATGACATGGTATACGTGTAGAAATTGCATATCAACAAGACTATTGGGTTACCCCCCGAACCCGCAAGCACCTGTCTATAACTATGACCGGGATATAAAAATATTAGAGAAATGTGTCTCCTCATTCTTGTGATGTCGGCGTTTTAAAATTTAAATCCCGCACGTGCGGTGTAGCATCTGTCACCCACGAGAACGTCAATGACCTCTAAAGCACGATTTTCAAACCTTAATGATTTCCTTTCCTCCTGTTTCGTCGCCCTTTTGTCAGTATTATTATTATCAGTTTTATTATTGTTCGTGCTATACTATTATCGTTAGCAATGACAGCTTTCATTGGCGTCTGTCCATATCAGTATCAAGTTTTTTACTCAGTGCGACAGCTGTTGTTACAAAGTGCGACAGCCCATCTTAATATAAAATGCGATGGCCCATTATTGGAAAGAGCGACATCTCTTTTATTATAGAGAGCAACGTAGTCAAGTGATTTTGGAAAATGCGAGGACACACCCCCTCAACTCATTCTAACATTTTCTTATCTCAGCGTGCCTTTGAAAGCTCATTCTATCGATAAATCAGTCATTTTTCTAATTTTAGTCGATACAAAGCACTCTATTCAAATTTGAAAACTTAAGAGCCTTCTGGTTCGTAATTTGACGACAGATAAACAAACAAATGCAGGCTGTAGAACAGCCCAAAAATAACTCATATTGCACTGACGAGTTTGGCTGCGAACAGTATTTAATATCTTGTTCATCAAAAAGCCTTACATTTGCTGTTAAATCACTCAATTTAGTCTCTTCACTTTGAATTATTGATGTAATCATGTGAAAAGCCACTTAAGAAAGACT